TTGATTCTTCAAGTGACTGCGTGGAGGAAGAAAGAAAGCCTATCTGGACGAAGGAATGCGCTTCATTTGGGGGCGTTTGCACGGCTGGCCTAGTTTCCGGGCTTTTTGTAGCCGATATTACATTCGAGCTTACACGAAAATAAGCCGTTGTCTCGGTCATAAAAAGCATTGTTAAACTCCGACCAACTCCGGCTTACTCGATGGTCTGGCCACCAATGAAATTCCGTTTCTTTCTCTTTTCTTTTCTTTTTTTTATTGTTTCAAGGTACCTGCCTCGGCTATTAGAGCACCTAACTTCAATACCAACCAATCGTAATCCTCTCCTCAATCGTGGACTGTTTTCTTACCAAACTGTTGTCAAATTATAAATAAATATTTAAATCAAAAAGTTAAATTTATTAATAATATAATTTCTCTAATCGAATTTAAAGAAAAAGGAGAATTAACATTACATAAACATAAAATAAATCATATTATTATTATTAATGAAAGTACAAAATTAATTATTCCTTTGTTAATAAAAATTAATCGTCTATTAGTTTGATTATAAGTTAAATTAATTAAATAAAATAATCCAGAAGAAATAAATCCATGTCTACTTATTATATAATATCTTTCATATAATCTTAACTTTGTTAAGATTAATAATATTTTTATTAATATAATTCTTATATGAACAACTAAATAAATAGTAATAATTAATTTTATATCTAACTGACATAAACATATAATTCTTAAAAATATTATTCTATATAAATTAATTATTATTGAATTTGTATAACATTTATTAAATATAAATTTTATTATAATCCATATCTTCCTAATTTTAATAACTTGATATAACAGTGAATACCAAAAATTATGTGTTAGATGTTGGTAGGTTTTAGAATTGCACTGACTCTTTTCGTACGCGTAATTTCACAGTTAAACTTTAATGTAAAAGTAAAGTCAGGAAGAGCTTAATGCAACGCTGTTATCTTTCCCATAGACTTAGCATAGCTTACTTAGTACGTATGCTGGCTGACTTTCTACTAAAAAGTATATTTGTACAAAGTACTTCCATAAAGATATATCTGGGAGGAGCATTTTCTATTGAGAAGTATGAAAAGTATGGAAAGAAAAGAAAACGCGAGTGCTGGAGAGTTTGTTCAAGGAGTATCTTGGATAGGCTGAGAAGAAGAAAATTCGAGGCCGGAGGGAGCCAAGAGACGGTCTCCTCTCGTTATACAACTTTTAATTACAATCAGTTCGATTTCCTTTTTACCAGGAGTTTCCATTTGGGGCTTCGTTAGACACAACCGTGGAGGTGACACTCGTAATGTCGACTTTTCTTTTCCTACACGCGGCCTTTTCACAGCAGTGAATATCTCCTCCCCCTGGCATCCTTAATTAACGACGGAAATACGTTGTTAGTTCTTCGAGTGGTCCGGGCTTCAACGACCACCCCGTTTGCGTATTAGTTTCCTCCATCCTTCGAGACTTATCTCAGCCATTGCGCGCTATTCTCAGGTTTTCAAAGTACGTTCAAGCTACCTGCAACTGAAATAAAATTTCAATATATCTGCCTCTCTACAAATTCTGTATTATAGATTTCAAGTCAGATATTTAAAAGTATATTTTATAAAAAGAACGGCAGGAAATCTTTCATTCTAATTGCTTTATTATATTTAATTCAGATTGAAATGTGGCGCCAGAATAAAGAAACTGTTTGAATAAATGAAGTAGAACTATTATTTTCTCTCACTGAATACAAAATGAAGAAGATAATTACTACTTTAGCTAACCCACTTTCTCGTTTCTCTTGTCCTTTTCTTTACTTATTATGCAATTACCCAATTTAGACTTAAACATAGTGAATAGAAGTTATTTTTTGAGCAAATAAAATAGATTCTATCGATCCCAGGTCAAATAGTCTTCTTTCTTCATTCTCTGAAAACTTGAAATAATTGAGATAATTTAAAATTTATGAAATATAATAATGAAAAATATGGAATAATATGTAGATGATAATTGAAGTTATTTTTTGAGCAAATAAAATAGATTCTATCGATCTTTGATCCCAAATAGTCTTCTTTCTTCATTCTCTAAAAACTTGAAATAATTGAGATAATTTAAAATTTATGAAATATAATAATGAAACATATGGAACAATATGTAGATGATAATTCCTTTTCTCAGTCCTTTCTAAAAGGTCAGAAGAATAATTCAAATTAAAATTGGCTAAATTCAGACCTTCTAAAAAGCAGTTCCAAGCTTTTGGAGTTGGTCTTCCAAGATACTTGGGTGAAATGCAAATGAAGAATATTCTATTTCGTTGCGCTGATGACCCTCTAACCGTATTTTCAGCGCCTCGCGAATCGCGGTGCTTAAGGAGCTAACATTCTAGTTTATCAGAGCATCAGCTGCTCTCGCGCATTCTCGTTAATGAGAATTATGTCAAGGAATCGCATCGATTAAAGCTTAGCCCAGATACTTGACGACGAAGCGTCGCTTCATTGATTTACTATCATGCGTTGCACTACAGATTTAGCCAGCAAGATGACATCAGAGCTTACAGCGGCGCATCTTCCTCTTCTCTAGCTTCTCTTTTCATTGGCCTCAGCTAGTCTGTATTTGAAACAATTTCTGTTTGAGAATTTTTACGTACACTATTATGCATGTTGCATCAAATATTTTGAAATTTCATCAACAGTGTACTAAGAGACAACCAACACAATGATATTACGGTATATATTTTCTCTAGTTGTGATGTTCAAGTTCAGTGATGGAGGTCTTCATTAAACTCGAACGTGCAAGTGGAAAACAATAAATTGGAATAACAGAATCGCTAAAGTATACTGAAACGAAGAGAGGAAGATATCCTTGAACGAGATGTACTTGTTGATTCAGATGTACTAGAGTAGAGGAGAAGGGAGAATACATTTCGACGCTCTTAATTAAAATACGTCAGTTACTATCTTTATTCAATAAATATAATATTACATCATAACATAAGGAATATCGTGGTGTGTAATTGTCCTCATCAAGCTGGACAGCTCGCAAGCAGTCTCTGTTCTTGAGAGCAGCCCCAGCGATTTGCAAATATATCTCTATATACGCGTACCACACACGTACATGCCATGTGCGCACGTACACGTATGTATACATATACCATCTTTAATATAGATCTTTCTTTTCTAGAGACAGCACAAACACATACTATGTTACAATATCGTTACAAGAACAGTCACGGATCTCCGGCGATCGTTTCTTTTTTTCTTCTTTTTCTTTTTTTTTTAATCTAATTCTCCGGTATTCCAACGCGAATCTACTGGCGGCCACGCGTACTCAACAGCTACACGTCTTGGTATTTTACTTTCTTCAGTTGGCCCACTTGGAGACAGATTGGCGCCAATTGGTGTGTCTTTCTTCTTCGAGAATTCGTACCAGTTTTCGAAAGATCTTAAAAAAGAATTGTACTTTAATTCCTCTTAACGTTATGAAATATTAGATGCTAATTTATATTTTTGTTTTCTTTTCTTCTTTTTGATAGAAAATAGAGCTAGAAAAGATATACAAGTAAAGAGTAGAATTAAAATTAAAAGAGAGCTTTTTATCTCTAGGGTTTTTTTTCTTTTTTCTTTTTTTACTAGGAGCTGCTTCCAATCACACCATCGACGATTTTCTTGTATACATCATTCAATTCACCGAGTTTTTCGAATCGAAAAACCAGGAGCTCAATAAGCCGAGCTTAATTTCAGATGCACCGAGCGGCATCATTTGCATCGCAATCCCGTTGCAAAACAGAACTAGCAGCGGAATAAAATTCCCTGTTGTGGAATCGTTCGGTGAAATTATTCCTAGCCATACATCTCCCTCAAGGTTCACGAATATTGATCGAAATAAACTTGTACAGCATTCTAAAATAGCGGCCAATTATATAAAATAACATTTGTAAGTTTCAAAATCTTCAAAACGTTTCTTCCTGGTACTTCATTTAAGATATCTCTAGAAGATATATCTCATTTAAGATATCTCTTCATCTAAGTCATTGATAAAATTTATAAAAATGACTAATATTCAACATCTAAAATTAAGAAGGCTTAACAATCGTTACAACAAACGTTTTCACTAACTTCTTCCTTGGCCAACATGCGTGCTTCAATGGCAGATTAGGTTCTTAGAGAATGGCAGAGGACTCGCGTGGAACCCGTACGACGCTTTCTCCCTTGCTAATTAATCTAATATTTACACGAGCCAGTCGTACAGCGGACGCCTGATCGAACCTTCTCGTCTCTCCAGCCGGATTCGCTTAGCAAAAGTAAAAAATAGGTACTTTCCAGTCTTCAGGCTCAAATAAATCGTGTCCTCGCTAGAATTGGAAGAGCGTTACAAGTCACCAGTGGTGTCTGGCGATTGACTTCGTTTCCTTTCATCTGTTCTGCCCGGAGAAGGAAGAGAGAGTCTCATCGTATAACGTTTTGCATATGAAAATAGGTGTATACCATTTACATTATATATCTCACGCTATCACAATATACGGTCTAAGGTAAAGTCCTGGTTTGATATGTACAATATAATATAATATTTATAGTAGCTCACACGGTGAGTTCACTTAGCTTCAGCGTTTGATGTATATTTTATAAAATCATCGTTCGCTATTCTACGCGAAGTGATCTACAAGTTCTTGGAAGAATTCTGGAATACCCAGGACGACTTATAAGACATATCTTTTAAATACATACATATCTTTTAAATATTCGTGGACAATTTATAATTGAAAAGCTTTAAAAAAGGGTTTATATATTTTATGTATTTTCTAATCAAGTAGAATTGTACAATTTTCTTCCATTTTTTAAATACAACAAAGAAAAGACGAAAGTTATTGTTATTTCAATATAGTCAACAGTTAAAAAACTAAATAAAGTTGTAAATGAAATTTATTTAATTTAATAAATTATTTTGTCCTATAGACTCCTTGCTCATACAGCTGTTAACTAAAATTTTCAAAAATCTTTTTCAAGTAATTTCCACTAATAAACTTCCCAATTTCGAAAATAACTTCAGCTACAAAGCTGCTGGAACGCTTCGGCTAAGTGGAGCACCCTGTTTGTTCACCATAATCCACATTATTCCCATGCGCCTCGCGCGAGCTGAATCTCTACCTTTGTACAGATTACTAGTCTGTAATGCACTTTGATCATTTGATTGTGTCGTCAGTCGATTTTGGCATGCTTCTTAAGCCAGGTCTCGGCCGGCGACTCCCTTTGAACTATCTGGCTATAGAAATTGACCGGTGTAGACACGTTCGAATGGTTCCACAGGCAAAGACCGGGCTTCAGGAACGAGTTCCCACTACCTACAGTGTATCTAGAGTCGGTTTGAAGTGATTCGAGAAACACGGGAAACCATTGTGAATGTAGTCAGAGGACACAGCGAGTCTGTATAATTTCTCTTTTTACGTGGACTCTCTCTTCCTGTCTCTGCCTGCCTAATTGGAAACCCAACTAAAAGGTAGAACGGAGCACGGTGCGATGGCCTGGTATGTGTGTGAATGTATGTACACTGATGCAAACACAGTCAAGGTCACCGCGGCGTCCAAGTATGTACACTGAATTGACCATTGAATGGAACACAAGATGAAAAATGGGGGTAAGAAGAACATGGTTCCAGCGCCATCTGCAGGACGATTCTCCTCGCTCTGTATCTCTCTGATTCCAGTGGATTGCACGAAGACCCGAAGAGGTAGCATCTGCCAGGGCAGTATTCTGTTCAGAAGGCAGGCAAACGCTTCTGTTTGGGCTTACGATCATTGGACAAAGTTCACGTTGTACGTCTCCAGTTCCATAGGCTGTAGACTCACTTCTTGCAGACCATCCTTCAACCTGTGCTTCGTCTTGGTGCCAGTCAGCGAGGTCTTCGTCACATTGAGATTCGCTAACTTGAAGAACGACGTTCCTTGACCAATCTTCTCCGTCAGCGGGCAGTGCTTCATAGCAACGTCCACACCCACGGAGCAACTATAACCTTGCCTATGCAGCACCATCAGAGCACTGTTCACAGGGAAGTGTGGCAGTTTCTGGTCGTGATTGGTCCTAAGATTTAACAGGTGCAGGTCACAGGGGAAGCTTTGACTTAATAGCCTAACCTCTGGCGCCATCGCTATATCACCTTCCGTACCGTCCACCACGAAAATATTTACGGGGTAATTGAGAGCGTTGCTCAGGTGATTAGCGAAAAGGGAAGGCTTGGAATATTTATCCTTCTCCCCGGTGATGTCTTCTAATAGTAACCAGTGCTTGATCACGGTTCTACGATTGTCCAGAAGACCCTCACCCATTCCCCTCGAATCGTCGTACAATGTTCTTCTGTCTAACATTACTTCTAACCAGCCTGGTTGGTAACTGGCTGCTCCCTGGCAGTGATTTACTAACAGAGTGAGTCTGTGATTGGTGTCTTCGATGTAGGCCATGGTGGTGATGGGGAAGTAATTACCCTCGATGCCAATTCTCTCTATCTTCGTCCTCTTGATCATTTGGTGGCCGTTCAAGTCTGTGTAAAACTCTGGAGGATCGCCATTCAGAATGTCGGTCTGTAGACGCATGAACATCTCTGTTTCGCGATTCTTCGGCGGAGTTTCAAAGTCCACGATGTTCCTCAGGTAGATAGCCTCGCCAAGGCCATCGTCTCTGTGATAAATGGCCACGTGATGGGTTAACAACTTTCCATACTCAACTGTCAGCCTCGAACTGAGGCTTCCGCTGACGATGTAGATCTTCTGATGAGGCGTATACGCTTCGAGAACGTCCTTGTCGATGTCTCGAAGGTTAGGATCGGGCATGAACAAATAAGCCCCGCTGTGGAACTGCGCGGACGGATAGGCAGCGAACTGAACGGCGCATTGCATGATTTTACCTGTTGCCTTCTTGGTCACTCTTTTCAGGAACCCAGTCTGACCATCGAACAACAGCTTCATCCTCTGGTTCTCCAACTGAACGTCGCCTACTTGCATGGGTTTGATAGGAAACACGTTGTCCTTGCCACATCTGCTGCAGTACACCGTGGAAATAGCCTCCATGGGCACTTTATCTATCTGTTGAAGATGATACGTGGCTATGGACAGAGGTTTCAGCTCCACCACGAACAACAGAACGTAGACGTCGTGAGTGATACTCGTGGCATTCATTACCGGAGCTATCTGATACGGGATGGGATTCTTCTGCGGGTCTAGGACTCTGATTTTGTAGGAAGTGACTTTTAGACTTATTACCTCCTGTCTGGGTTGAGCCAGAGGATTGAACAAGACTATTTTCTTGGTCTCCTGACCATTTATTCCAATGGGTATCTTCTTTGGTAGTTTCTCGTAGCTGTCTCTGTCCGATTCAGCCAGAACATACACGGAATTAGGTTTGCTGGTGCTTCCAGCTAAAGACTGAATGGCGAAACTTTGGAGACTGGTCGTGTCTGAGATAGATTCGAACAGTTTTAGAGCGTAGTCCTTCATGACGAAGGACTTGGAGGTGCCAGTGATGGCATCGTGGTGCTGGAAGAGGCCCAAATTCCTCCTAGCCTTCACCAGCTTTTCGAAGTAAGTTTCGTACAGCATGAAATCCTTGCCGGATTGTTTGGCCACGTTTAGAGCTATGGTGTAGAGAATCTCGGCTGATCGGAGGTTCGCTTCTAACTCACGGTCTAGAATTTTCATGTACGGTCTTGTGGTGAAGTAGCCGCTCCAGTAGGCTGGCCTGCCCTCGCTGAATATGTCAGAGTACACGAAGAAGTCGCCCTTCAGAGTTGGAAAATCGTCGACGCGTTTCCTCACCTCGCGGAAATAGTCTCTAGGAGTACCAAACACCACCTCCGCGTTGTACTCTTCCTTCCTGCTGTTGATGTAGTCCATTAGAATTTTGTAGTTGGTGTATTGTTGGTCCCACTCAATAGCATGGTCGTACCTGAAACATAAAACACAGACCTGGTAAATACGTGTTTAAATACTCAGAATGCAGCGCAGAAAGGAGACCTTCTCGTCGAGAAGAATCAATTTTCTACAAAACGAAGTTATTCAAGTATATCAGTGAAACAGCATCTCACCTAAAATCGTCCCCGAGCGGCATTAGCACCACGTTGTGCGAGAACAACGATCCAGTCCTGGAATACTGCTCCAGAAGCAGCTCGGCCATCTGCTTCACGTTGTTTGGCGTGATCTCCACCGCCCTCACCGAATACTCCGTATACTCCCCGCGAATCTTCCTGAAGTCGAAGTTCAGGCACACGTGGGGATGCGGACCGCACGAGTGTTTGATGTTGTAGATGTCGAACGGCTGGTTGTGCGTCAACATGTCAGCCCTGCCAGTTTGATCCCACGGCTGCATCCAGATGAAGTCACCGTATTGTTTCTTCGCGAACCACTGCTTCCACGCGTAGTGTATTCTCTGGATCACGGTGCCAGAGGCACCGGAAACTTTCAGGAAGTACGGTATGGTGCCACCGTGGCCGAACGGGTCCACGGACCAACCAGACTCCGGGACCACGTCCAGGTTTGTCTTCAGCCACTGATGACCTGGAATCAAAGAGAGACGAACCGGGTCAATTAAAAAGTATCGTCGTGCGGTAGCTGTGGATGGTGTGAAGGGGGTGAGGGATGGGATTCAGTTTGCACAATAGTCAGCAACGCCGCCGGAATAATCGGCTTTTCTGGTGTGTCGAGTACTGGCAATTCAGCCGGCCGTTTAACGCCCTGGCAACGGTTAGGTGAATCTTTTGAGACTTCTGCTGGTCTCATTAGGGAGAGACACAGACGTCGTATAAATCAAAAGGATCGATGCGAGCAGCGTCGTTAAATTCGAGGAACGTTGGGAGCGTCTTTTGAGCGCCGTTCGCTCGTACCGCCGATCGCGAGATACTTATCGCTGTATAAATATCTCCGGGGCTCGTTTAAAAGCTCATGCTCCACGGGAGAACAGGAGGAGTGCTCTTCTCCTTGAGTGCTTCCAGCCGGGACGAGTATGAAGTCTACAACGGCCTGATTCGACGCAGATTCCCATTTCCGAAATAGGAATCTGAGACGTGATCATCAGTCAAGTTGGCAATCCTAAGCATCGGATAATATTACCAATATTGGATTACCATCAATATTTTGAACGTTCAAATTCTTTCTACCTTGCGTTTCGTTTTCACAAATATTAAAAATTCCAAGGAATTATTGATTCATCCAATCCCATTCATAAATTGTTGCGGTTCTTAATGAGATTCATCAATGAGTTACAAAGTTAATTCTTAATTAATTCTGGCATATACAGTCTAGTTAACGCTTGGCTATTAACTATTAATTATGAAGAATCTAAGATTTAAGAATTTCCATGAAAAATCACGAACTGGTTATTTTCTTTGCTGTTGAAAGAAAAATTTGCCTCGAAAGCCATAATTCAGGAAGTAGCACAACTGTTTGAAGTACCACGTCGAGAAAGATGGTGAATGGACTGGATGGTTCATTGTATCTACGGTGTCCACTAATTCAGACACGATTTCTCACGGTGGAAACCCATTTCGATACGCGGTCGTAGCGGACGGTGGTTGTAATCGCTGCCTATTTATCAGTTCTCACCCTCCTGGCATTCCTCACCGACCAAACAACCTCCGTTTGACCCTGTGCAACAGCGGGGAGTTAATCCACGTCCGTTGCCACAGGATAGAGACCGCGTTCCAGCTCCTCGATGGACAATTTATGGTGTTATGTAGTTCGCAGCGCCCCTAGCGGCAATCATAGTAACGTGCATGGTTACTGTTACTACGTTTGTCAAAGTGAAAAGCTCGAGTCTGATTTCCATTGAATATGCAATGAAAATTAATTAAAAATTGTGTTTATAGACAAAATGATACTCACGGGGGCTTAAGTCTGATTTTCACTGAACACGAAAGGAAAATTGATTAAAAATTATGTGTAAAGACAAAATGATACTCACGGGGGCTTAAGTCTGATTTTCACTGAACACGAAAGGAAAATTAATTAAAAATTATATTTTGGGCGAGATGAGGTTTCGTCATTAGTAGACTGCGGATTTTTATATTTCTACGAGCATAAGTGAGGAAAGAAAATCCAAATTGAAATTTGTTTCATCTAATTTTCGTTGAACTTTATATTATATAACCTGTAATATATACTCTTGCATAAAAATGCAAAATTCATAAAAATTCGAAGCCTGTTAATTAGTTTCGCGAGCGAGAAATTTTGCCCAACAACGAGGGAAGAGACCATTTAAAAAGATGTATACGCAACGCAGGTGGTGAAACAGAACATGGGGTGAGATTCGATTTGCAATGGCAGCGAGGTATTTCTTCATTTCATTTCGATGTGGCTTCGGTCCTCGTATTTTCGAGGGGGAAAGCGAATTTGTACGGGTTTCTAGTTTTCCACGATAAATGGTCATTGATCGAATGCAATGAAATGCTCGCGTGAAATGGAAGAGAACACCTTGCGTGGCTTTTGACGTGGAAAATGAACTGTTAGAAAAAACGAAAGTTTCACGTACAATCGAGGATCGAAGGAGCTGATTTTCGTTAAAATCCAAGTTCTGAAATAAACTTGACACGTTAACTCTAAACCTAATATTCAAACGAATTTCTGACGTCTACTTAATTTTTAATTCGCTTCAGAAAGCCATATCAAACGTAATGTATTTTTTGCACTGATTGAAATTTACTCTGAAAATGCGGCTTCATTAATCGAAAATGGAACATCCTAAATTTAAATTTAAATTGAAATTTTAAATTAGGATCTCAATGTAATCGCAGAAGTCCGGCCTTCTGCGGAAGCTTGAGGATTCCATTCTAGATGATGACGTTCTAACTTAGAGACTTAACGTTCCAATCCAAAACTAACCCACTTTCTCCAATCTGAACTAGTTATGAAATATCATAATCTAGAGGTGACACTCTAACCCGAATCGTATTTCAAGTGTTTTAATGCTATATTTCAACACTTATTACACTTTTATAATTACTAGTAAACCAATCTATATATAATACTTTCACCTGATATTACAATCCAAACTTGACTTAAATAATTTTCGACATCTGAGCTCTCTAGAAATCTTAATATAACAAATTTTCTAAAGTTTTAAGATAATTAATTTTTCTGGCAGTCCCAAACTTGTAGTAAAAGTTCCTAGAGTCTTTCTAATTACCTAATAATCCCAACAATTTTCCATTAATAATTTTGCCATTGCGCAGATTTTTTCTTTTTTTTTTTTTGCACAAAAAGCTATTTTGCTATCGGGAACGCAAAATCTAACAAATTTAAATTTAAAATTTCGTTTCCAAGTGCAATACGCAGTTACGTTAACACGGTTACAAGAAAAAGAGGCAAACGAAGACAGCTTCAATTATTACGCTAATGCAATCGTCTGGAGCGTCCCTGAAATTCCTGCGAAACCGAATCCGTATTCAGGATCCTCCTCTGCGCATGAACAAGCACCAACATAGACCAGTGGCAACAACAACCAACGTTGGATGCACTTGGTGTGCACGCAACGATGTGCAGCTAAGCGTGCGTGTTAACGCACGCAGCCGTGTAGATACAGTCTGTTCTCTATGGGCTCCTCCTGGCCTAAGTACAACGCTGTTGCGGATTTAGGTTAGCTCGTTAGGCGGCCAACATTGTTACGTTACTCGTAACATCTCGTTTGCAATTTTTCTTTTCAGTCGATTTATAGTTTCAAATTCACATTTGCCTCGGTACGCTTCTTGGTTGCTTGTTTCTTTTACGTAGACTCTATACTGGTTCATGAGATATAAAGCAAATTTTTTTCTTTTTTTTTTTTATTAAAAGTGGGAAATTTTAGGATGCTAATTTTCGGAAAGTAACAAAATTAAAGAGACAAGCATACAAAAATTATTGAATTAATTTTCCACAAGACGAGAACCACTACACACTGTAGTAGGAATGGAAATAAATCGTTCTAACAAATTCTATAGATCATGTAACAGCAATCGTGTGACTCCAATTTCTCAATGAAAATATAAATGCAATATTCTTTTTTCACAGTGATTAAGTAGATAAGAGAGTAGAAAGCAACAATTTTGAAATTTTAGGTTTAACTCTATTACTTTCTATATTGCAACCTAACCTAAAACATAATCACGTGATGTACATTTGCAACCTAACCTAAAACCGAAAAAAAAAATTACCAATTCTCACCTCGTTTTACAAACACTGTCGCTAACAGTTCCGACATTTAAGCTCGCAAAAAAAAAAAAAAAAAAAAAAA